CTATCGCCTGACCTAATACTGATATTTTTACAAATCCGATTGAAAAACCCGGAGGTGATACGGTCCATGGGGCCGAGGACCTCGATACAAATCGGTAAAAACTCCATCGAGGGGAGAGCTCCGTCGTACTTTTTGATCTTCTCGTCAGATGCCCTGGTTGCAGCCAAACCGCTTTCTTTGCTAGTAAGCTGCACGTAGCGCTCAGCAAAGGTGCCCGGAACGGTAACGTCCCACGCCAAGCACCTGCCGGCTCTCCAAGGGATCAAGGTACACCCGTCAGGGCGCTTACCGTCGTGCGCCGCAATGCCCGACGGTTCCTTTAAAACCGGAATTGAGGCCTTGGAGAAAAGTCGGCACACAAAATCGTTTATGGCTGAATGTCGCTGCTGGCGACCTCCGCCCAAACGACAAACAAGACCATGATGGCCAAGTTCATCCGCCTCCGCGCCGCACCTGCATGTGTATCGACTCTGAACGGCCAACCCCAGACGGAAGCCAATGGCTGTCCTGACCGTATGTATGTATGGTTGTCTGCATGTGCCAAAATGTATATAAATATATTTCTTAGTTTAAAGCTGATTAATTGCGGCTGTGGTTAGGATGGAAAATTTATTGTGCACATGATGTATCGTCTCATTAATAATGAACATCTTCATAAAAGATAGGAAGGGCTGCAACTACGAAGTTGATGGCTTAATAAACGGCAATGATAATTACGCACCGCCCATGAAATACAACCGTAATATATTAACGTCTGAAAAATGACAACCGCTGAAATGTTTCGAAACAATGTTTAAAGTAAAAGAAAAACTTCAAATTCAATTATCAATGTTAATGACGTTAACAATTTCAAAAACATCACCACCAACAACAATAACATCAACAACAGAAACAACAACATTAACAACTTTAATAATGTTAGCAACACAACAATGACATCAACGATAACCGGCCTGATAAAAAGCTTAACAAATGCAATGTCATCAATAACAATAGTCGGTAACCATGACAGCAATCAATGTTTCCTTTGTTTCTTTTGATGCATCACTAGGCGGACAAAGCATAATTCCATGATAAATATGGGACCGTACATACATACATACATAAATATATACATACGTACGTACGTACGTATACACATACATATTTGTGTGTGTGTGAGTGTGTTGTATTTGTTTTTTTTTATCTAGAATTATGCACGTTTGTTTGTATGTTTGCCACAATTTTCCCAGAAAATAAAACAAGACAAGAGGTTTTTAGGAAAATTTCAATTCGTGTTGTCACGTGCAATTGATCATCGACTATCACCTCATCTTTGACAACGCGACGATTGCAATTTTTTTGTACCCCACGATGACAGTTTTGTAAAACTTTAAAATGTTTTTTATTATGTTTTCTTTATTGTTGTTGTTGTTGTTGTTGTTATATACATTGTTACTGCTACTGCTAATAAAAAATTATCAGTGTTATTAGTATCAGTAGGGAGGCGTGATGGCTCAAGGGTTAATGGCGCCTGGTCTTGTTGCTGCAGTGACTGGGTTCGAATACAAAAAAATCCCCGCCTATCACATGCAATGTGTATGATGCGTGGTTTTCACGTGTATTCATATACGTTGTGTGTGTGTTTGTCATTGAAACCTCTGAAGCAAGAGCAAAAAAGAGAGTACCCTTTTTTAACCTTTAAATCCTATTGCTAATAGAAATTCTAGTGATAATTTGACCGGTAGTTATTCATTTTTTTCAAGTGGTTGTTAAATACGTCTGTATTTGCAACGTTACAGATCTAAAACCCAAGAAGCATTTTGTTTGTAAATAGACCTAAATGGAAAATACCAACAGATTGTTGCTACCAAATTGAGAATGAATACGTACGGACTTCAGAAAACAATCATTATTTATGGGTTCATGTATTTTTGACTGGGCGGATAGGGTTAATCGCCCATTGTTGGAAAAACGTTTAGCGCGAGAACATGGCATCCTGCCGTTTCAAGATAAAACATGCCGTCACCCAAGTCAACAAAACTAAAAAAAATTTATAAAAACTTCATGTACACTTTGTTTGTATCGTTAAATTATAAAAAAAAAAAAATTAGAAACACGAAAACGTTTGTCAAAAGATGTTCGGGTAAAAATGCCACTTACAAAAACATTGCATTGTTTGAGGTATGAAGCGCAAAAGATATTGGTGGCAAATTAATGAAGTATTTTTAGCAGCAATGCGGAATAATTAATACAAATGGAAACTATAAAATTAATAAAAATAATAATAAAACTTGTAGCCTAAGTCAGAGAGTTAACCAAGAGAGTATGTGTGGAAACTTAACCAAAATGTTTGTTGGCTATAGTTTTTGATTCATCATTTTACAGTACGTTTATAAACTAGTTGTTAACGAAAAATTGCGCATATTAGATTTTCAAAACACTTACTTTGATTCAAGTTAAAATTATCGTAAATAATAACTGCAATGTTGGTAATAGTAATAACGATTTTAATATAAGTAGCCGGCGAGTGGTAAACATTTTTACTAAACCGATCAGATGGCAACAATTACTAAGACTGGCATCAAAAAACAGACTAATAAACATTGAAACCGACAAAAAATTAAACAAATAAACAAACAGATAAATAAAAAATAATAATAAAAATAGGCAAATAAAACATTGAAGGCAAGCAAATGAGCGTGTGTGCGTTTTCATTAGAGGCCTGCCAGGCATATCAAATGAAAGCTGGAGAGTAAAGAGAGAATTAAAAATTAACAACCATCTGATGAAAAAAATTTGCAACATATATTATAATTACTGAAAATATTTAGAAAAAATATTTATTTATTTCAAATTTTTAAAAACTATTTTGTCCATTAATATCGGCTGGCTCGAAAGTAAGTTTTCAGTTAGGGTTGGGTAAAGTGAAGTGGATTTAATGGATGTATGGTTAAGGTTTACTGATAATGCAGTTTTTATTTTATATCAGCATAGACGTTAAAATTTATAATAGTATTGAACAATTTTTCATTGGTAATAAGGATAATAATAAAACGCTAACAATGTCAAGGACGATTTCATATTTTGAAGAAATTAAACGAATGATGCAGGCGCAGTGGTAGGTACTCTAACAAAGATAACGATAACAACAATAATAACAGCAACGATACAATTATGATGTTGCACTGATACGAATGATAATGATGATGATACCAACAACATTCCCGAGACAATTATCTATTGACAATGATAATGATGACGATGATGATGATGATGATAATAGTGATGATGATGATGATGAAGAGGAGGAGGAGAAAGATAGTAAGGATGCTGATGCTGATGATGGTGGGATGAATGCGCCAGAGTAGATGATAAACTGTGGGAGCTCTGACCGCTGTGAAGCAGTAACAAGATAGAACGACATTGATGAAGAATATGATAGTAACCAAATGCTGTTCTGATGACGACGATGATAATAATGATGTTGTTGTTGAGATTATAGTAATGACGATGACGACGGCGATGATGATGATGGTGGTTTTAATATTGATGATTATGATTAAGATAATAGTTAAAGGTCATTACAATACTGACGTTGATGATGATAATTCTTAAAAAATGATGTATTTAAATGATGATACGATATATCTGAAAGTATTAATATAATGATGATCTAATAATGATGATTTAATGGTGATGGTGGCATGGCTTGCTATAATGCTAAGAACAATGCGGATATTAATGACAATCATAATTAACAACGAGGAATATTGTGGTGATGAAGAAATGTGAAAGATGAATATTAAAAAAGGAAGTTGATGGTGAAAACGATGATGATGATGATAACGACGACGATGA